AGGGTTCAAAGAGCAGTTTTCTATGTTTGAATTACAGAAATAATCTTGAACAATTTGTTCCTAATTTCCATATTTCTAGAAATAAAGAAAACAGCTTTTTGAGAGTACTGGGTCACATGGTTAGCATATTAAATTTGGTTGCTCTCGATTGCTTTCAATTAGAATGCGACAGTTTGGCATCCATGCTCACCAGGTGCGGATTGCCTCGTGATCTTGGCGTAACTATTTTCGTTTCTTCAGCAGATAATGGACCATCTATTTACACTTCAGCCACGGTTAAAGAAACTCATCATCAATGCTAGAAATAATACTCTGTTTTTGTTCAGCGGCTAAATTAAGTTAAAGAATGAGCGTAATTTCATTGTCAAATACTGTTATGCATTTAATTAGCAAGTCACTTTAGTTTAAACATGAAGCATTGGCCATGGACTGGTTTGTGAATTGCCTCTGCCAGCTTTACCTGACAGCTTTGTGAATTACTATGAATAAGACGTGATAATTGCACGAATACAGAAAAGTCTCTGTGATCCTAAATATGCATAATAGTTTTTTCTGAAAAATCCATAATATATAACTATATTTTCTTCACGAATTATCCTTTAAGCTTGTTTATTAATCTTTTATCAGTGAAAGCAAAAGACTAACATATCTGCCTTGAGATATATATACTAATAAGTAGCTAAGATATCGGAAAAAAGCCAAGACAAAGCGGCTTGATTAAAACTTGATTTCATAATAGATAATGGAAAGATCGTATCTTTTCTTCTCATGTTACGAACTGATATCGTCTTTTAAAAAATGCCACCAAGATCATAGGCTGGGTCCTTTCCTCTATAAGGTCTCACTTAGTTTAATGTTTATTTAGGGAGATCGAGGAGATTCAGAGAAACATATGAGGAGCCTTGTGTAGCCATAAACATTGTGGCAATTTAACATGTTTGCTAATTCTTGACACAGTGCAGAGGACAAAATGATGCATAACGTTAGAGCTGCAATAGATATAGGAACGAAGGCATGCTAATGTGAACATATACACATCAAAACTTTAAGGACTTGCAATCTTGTCTTTTCAAGTTCAAGATTTTTCTTTATTGCTTATGTTAGGTGTTAAAGAATCATTTGTCTCCAAAGTTAAATAACTAATTGAATTTTAATTTAGACAACCAATTGTTTTTAGATTTTTATTTTTATTTTTTTTTAATTCGAAGCCAAAAGCATTTCAATCCTCTAATCTATTGTCCAACAAGCACAATCAGTTCTGCATTACTTCCATTTCCGTTAATTATTGCTTGTCATGTAAACATGGAGACTTGCTAAGCAGCTTAATTTCTTCTAGTTGCTTTCAGTTTTGAATATGCTTAACCTGACATCCACGTTTGAAAATATTATACATATGGTAAAATAAAATATAGTTTCGTTGTAGGTGAAACCATGCTACAGTGAACAAAAAAACATTGTTTTGTGTCTTTCTCCCTTAAAACGACGTTGTTTTACTAAAAAAAAAGTGATTTTTAGACTTTTTGTATACTTTTTTACATTTTGGTCATTTTAGTTATAACTATATATGAAACGGTTCTTGATTTTAATTAACTAAAACAAAACCTCGGTTTACTGTTCAAAATATTGTTCATGCACTCACAATTCACTATTCATTGATTTTTTACACTTTGATCCCCGATCTTTGCCAACTAATCTTTCGAGTCCACATTTCATTTGCTCATTCATTTTGATCCCTAGATGAGAGAGAAGGGAGGAGGGAAGAGAGAGACGAGAGGAGAGAGAAAATCACCGACCAAGCTTATTTAGGCCTCTTAGGTTGGCGAAAATTCATTAGATTTGTTTATCTTTGAGAGATGAGTTTGTCAATGATTGTTTCAAGCCATTAAACCATTAGAGGAGGTAGATTGGAGCCAAAAAAGGAAACAAAGTTTCGATTTGATTTTTTTTTTACTGAAATTTTCTTTCTATTCTAATTTCTATTTTTTTTTATTTTTTCTTTCTTTTCGTCATTAAATTTAGTAAAAAAAAATTTTAGTCTTTGTTTTTTAATTGTTTTTTTATATATAATTAAAATTTTTTCCTACAAGGAACTATTTTTAATTTTTAATAAAACTTTTTGTTATATTTTGGTTTTTGTTTTATGATCTTTCATTTATTTTGATCATTAAAATTTTATTATATTTAATTATTAATCATTTTAATTACATTAAAATTAAATACATTTTAAGTATTCGAAGTTTTTTTTTATATTTAGTGAAAAGTATTCTGTTTTGATTCTTATGTTATTAATTTTTTTATTTTAGTCATTAAAATTCTATAATGTTTACTTTTGTTCTCGCCTTATGCATAATGAAATTTTTTTAGTCTTATTATTTATAAGTATTTTTTGTATGCTTTTAGTGAATTATTTATTTATTTATTTTTATCCTTTTATAATCTTTACTTTGTTTTAATCATTTAATTTTTATCGTGTGTAATTTTATCTCTATTTTCTTTGCCAAGTTCTTGATTTTATAGAGCTTTTTTATCTTTTTGTTTTGAGTGGTCTCTCTGTCTCATTAATAAATTACGGATGAATAATATATGGTAAAAATTAATTATCAAAAGTTTAAAAAACTACCATATTATTATTTTAATTATCAGCTATTAATAAAATACATGTTTATATAAAAAATATCTAATTAGCAATATTATATTACTCAACTTTACAGATTTTTCATTAGCTAACCCTATAGCAAATTATGAAATATATGTTTTAATTTTTTTAAAAAAATTATTTTCGCATGATATTGTCAAATAATGATTTGTAAATGTTAAATTTTATATTAATGAATGCATAAAAATGATATATAATTCATCCCATGATAATGCTCGGGATATATGCTAATTTTTACTATAACAAGATTTATTTATTTATTTATTTATTTTTTTGTAATGGCTAGATTGTGCTTCTAGCCTAGGCACATGAGCTTGGTTGTCTTTAAGCCATACAAAAAGGTTTGGTTTGAGCTCGAGTCTAGCCTCTTTTTTATTTACATATACTTTTTTTCATTATTTATTATTTAATTAAAATATTTTTTTCCATAATTAGTGGTTAATTTTTTATTTATAGACTCATTAACTAAAATTAAATACCCTTCTAATATAAATTGATTTATTGCATTTTTCTAATTTTTTAATAAATAAATAATTAATTGCATGTTTTTTTTTCGATCAAAGTAAAAAAAATCCCTAGTATATATTTAAACTCAATAATAAAAAATATATTTTTTATTAAATATTACATAATACATATTAAATTAAACAAATTCTCATAATTAGTATTAATTATTTCTTATTTTACGTCTAGAATTTTTAATTATTTAAAATATTAAAACATATTATATGGATTCATCGGCGGCAATACGTGGGTACTGTGCTAGTTGTATAGCTACAAGAAAACAACAGCATGCGATGTTTACAAGCGGCTTCTGCGTGGTTTATATGCAAGCAGAAGAGTTGGTCATGATGTGCGAAGAGGTTATTTTCTAGGCTGGGAATGACTAGTTTTTCATATCAAAAGGTGGGGAAAAGTCATGGGATAGAACGCTTTACTGTTTCTTGAAGTATAGAGCTCACTAAAAACTCTGTGCAAGTTTTCTTTATTTCTGGTAAGTGAAAGGAGGAAAGAAAGCGACACATTCATCAATCTGCAGGATTCTTTTTAAATCTTAATAATTTTAGAACAACAAAATAGTTCCCGCTTTTTGTATTTTATTTTTCTTTGCATCTGCTTTCTTTACTCCTCGATCCAAAATTATCATACATCCACAAACAACTTTCTCTCCATTAGTTAATGTGGACCGTTATAATCACTATACTGTTAAATAGACAGCACATTGAAGAAGAAGAAGAAGAAGAAGAAGAAGAAGAAGAAGCCTGGGCACGTAAATTAAACAACAACAGCCTAACGAGACTGTCAAATTTTATTACTCCTCAAAAAACATTTACAGAGTAAATTTGGAAAGGGGAAACAGTATCGAACAGAAATTATTTGTGACTACAAAGATTAGATGGACATATTGATCCATTCAGGTAAAAGAAGCAAAGTAAAAAGATTTGCCTTTTTCCAAAGTCAGCATCAAATGAGTCAAGTTATATGAAAAGACGGTCCTCTACAGCAAGAACTCGTTCACCACTTCCCTATGAATCCAGGTAGGTTCGCACCACATCCAATATTGGTGCTCGACATATTGGACATTTTCCACTACTCTGCCGCAGCTCGTGGGCACATTTGAGACAAGTGCACATATGTCCACATCTGAAAAATATCAGTTATCGTATCAGGCTATCAATACATTCATGATACTGATGACAGTGGCAGTGAAGGTTTAAAATGACAATGGGTTTCTCAAGCAATTACCTATACAGGAAAGAGTCAACCTGCATTTCGTAGCAGATACAGCAGCTGCGTTTGTTTGGTCTCCTATCAAGTCCATTCCTTTCAACTGTAGCAATAATTTCAGACTGGAATTGTTTAACGAGTCATTCTTAAACAGCATAGGAATAAAGGAATATATGCAAATACGCACAAAAGATTATGGATAACAGTTCTTTCACAACCACCTCCAAGTTACAGAAGATTAAGGTTGGGTTTGCGTTGGACATACTACCTAGTAATATCCTCTTGGATGACTAGAGACAAGAAAAAAAAATGAAGCTAATATTTGTACTAAATGTAAAACGATTCCCCATTTAAAAATTCTACTATATGATACAAGATTAGGTTGATTAAATTATTTTAGTTGGTTTCGAGGAAAGAAAATCGGTTTTCTCAGCTCACCTGGACGTACTTCCTGCGCCTTCAAGAAGTTTTGCAAATTTATTTGCATTTCCATGCAGCTCTGGATTGATTTTCGGAGTTCGGACATTTCACGCTGAAGTTGCTCCATATGCCCTTTTAAATCGTAGACGAGTTCCATTTCCTGTGAGTTTAGAGTGTTATTTATCTCTCTGTTTAGTTACTTAAGAACCTGCGAAAAGTTCACTTCAAACTGTATGGTGAAAAAGCTCACAATTGATGAATGACTTGTAGAGGAAGAGAAGCGCCTATCTTGATTGGAAGATTGAGATGGAGGAGGTAGGTGCAAAGGTGTAGTTTGAGCCTGTTCACAACCATCGACAACTTCTTGGTCATCATTATAATTCCATGACCTGAACGGATATGGAGAATGCTGAGATGGTGAGGATTGATCAAAATAATCAGTAGCTTCCATATATTGATGGCTAGTTGTGCTTCCTTCTTCTTCTGATATGCATTCTTCTTCTACTGTCTCTCCTAATCCACTTCCTCCGTCCAATTCTTGTTCCTGTTCTCGTTCTTCTTCTTGACTGCCAAATGGGTGAGAGTGCCTTTGGAAGTAGGACAACATCAGCTGTCCCATTCTCTCCTGACTGTCCTTATCTAGCTCTTCTTCTTCTTGACTGACTTGCCTTTGTGCGCGAGACACCATCAGTTGGTCTATTCTGTCTCGCAGGTCACTAGTAAGAAAACTTGATACTGTTCTTCTGCATTTGGGATTTGAAGTATCAGATTTACGCAACGCATAATTCTATTTCTTCTTTTGTGGAAACTACTGTCAGTGATTTTTTAGTGGCAAATAAATAAGGAGAGCAAGGACTGTCTTACCTTTCAAGGAGTTGCCTTATCTCATCATTGTCTGAGCTAGCATTAAGCTTCTCTTCATACCGCGCTTTTCTTTGATCTTCCCAATAACTACGTGGGCGAGCTATATCACTGAACCAGTCATAATTGGTTTGTTCAAAATACTCTTCCTCCTCTTCCATCTCATTTTCATCCCAGTCATTCAATGGTAGTGTTGTTTCAGAACTTTCTGGTGAATCAAAATTTTCAACCTGCAGGGTTGTTTCTTGCCATGTGACTCCCGATCCTGCACAAGTTTCTCCATGAACTTTTTCTTGGACTTCACGTGTGTCTGATGCTGAGTTCTCAACTTGGGGTTCACTCTCCTGCTCAGTACCGGTTGACGTTTGTTGCTGATGACTATCAGCAGTCAGCTCATTTTGTATGGAAGTATAGGTATCTACACTGCTATTGACCATCTCTGTAGTGCTTCTTGGTGTAGCTGAGTCACTCTGAGTTGTGGCTTGCTCCATGCCTGCACTAAATCTCTCCCTACATTGAATTCAGGTTCCAGGTTGGAAAAGGGAAGATAAAAAGAAAGATAAGTAGGGATTATTAGAGACAACACATATTCCAATTGGCCAAAAGAGGCTGTAAGTAGCTAAATATTTGTTTCAGCAAATCTCTCCATATATTGAATTCAACTCTCTCAACAACTTTGGGTAGAGTTTCTATGGAAGCAATCGATTGGATGTAGCTAGAACCATAGTCTGGCATTGAATTAGTAATGCAATGGCAGAAAGAACACTTTCAATAGCATTTCCAGATTGTTAAAAATCTCAAACAATATGCTTATTTTTTATAAATTCTCAACTTATATCCAAAATTTTAGATTTCATTAGTCATTAATTCTCTAGGTCTGCATCCAAATCGTGTTCTTCATGATGGGTACTCGAAAATCCTCTTGTTGCTGACCCTGCTACTTTTACTGGTTTGACCGTGCTATTGCTAATTATGTGATTTGCAAACTTCAACTTTGTTGTAAGATGTAAATGACAGATATATGTTTAGAACAATTTCCTTGAACTGACCAATTCACACAAGATCATATGGAATGACAGGAAGGAAATAATTTAATCAGTAGACATAAAATTATCATATAAAAAATCTAACTTCAGCAGTATCAACATTGGCATTCACTTTGAAAACATAATATTTTCATATAGATGTTGTCAGCAGTAAAAATCACTTTTAAGATGCTATTAACAAATGATGCATGAAAACTGGATGAAATTGACAATTTTACAGAAGGTTTTCACTTGGGCGAGTTAACTGCCTACGAAAGCCAAGATATGAATATGGTGATACCTGAGATGCATGATGGTAGAACCGTGTTGTGATCGGTCACTACTGGACGATGTTGCTGATTGAGATGATCGTGGTCGCTGTTGATCTTCAAACGCCATTCCACGGTGCAGGAATCTCAGACGAAGCAAGGACTGTAGAAGCATTACAGCACACAAATAACTATATATATATGTGTGTGTGTTTCGAAATGATAAGAATTTAAAATTAAAGAATAATCAATCGCATTGCAAATTCCGTGAACTTTTGGTATTGAAATCAAGAAATGAAGGAAGAACTTCGCTTCACCTGAATGCGGCCACGTTGAGGAAATCTTGAAACAGCCTTGCGTTCGCCTAACGAGCCAAGCTCTCTATGCCTTTCTTGCTCCATTTGCAAAAGTAAATCATTAAAGGCTTGTCGCCCTCTTATCTTTGGTGAATTTACAACCTGTGACAAGACTTTCTGCTCCGTCGGATCAGAACCTGAAGAATTCCTACGCTCTCTGGATAGGCAATCACCGGCACTGTTCGACTGCTGATCATGATCATTGGCATCGGATGTCAGTCGCCTAATGATGTCAACAATTTTAACTTTCTCGGGCTCTCCTGCATCTGTATTCCTGAAACGTATGGATGTAGGTGCACTCTTTACCAAGCCGCAATCCACAAAAGTGTCCTCTTTTATAGTAGAGTCGGATATATCAGATTGTTTTGATCTCTCTTCAGCACTGGATGATGCAGTTTCAGTCTGGCTACATACAGAACTTCTCCCGCTATTGTTCAGGCTATGGGACCTAGTCAGGCACGCCTCCGATTGATGTAGCCTTGCCTCCCATATCTGAACAAGAGAAGAGGCCCCACGATTCTTATTTACGGAGGAATTTTCGGATTGACATGTAGAATTCTCAGAGTCTTGATATTTCTGTTGCACAGGAGATGATTTCCTCAAAGATGTCATCAACAACCCTGCCTTCTCACTCTGCCTCTCAATTGTTGACACCATTTCTCGAGCCTGCATAGCGGCCCATTGATCAAGGATTCTCGCTTGCTTGCTGCTCCTAGTCGAAGAACCATCTACCTTTTTGGCAATGCTATTTTGGTTATCTGGTAAGCGCCGTAAATGTTGATGATGATCATCATCAATATTGGTATTAATATGATTTTTGGATTCTCATTAGAGGCAGAATCAGAAGATACAGAGATGCAAGTATGGAGGTTTTCTCTAACCAATCCTTTGAGATTCTTTTGAAAAGCAGCAGCTGTTGCCCTGGCATTGCTCTCTCTATTATATCGTTCACGCCGATTGTGATCTCTTAGAACACAACCAAACGGTGAAGACGAAGCAATCTCAATTTGGGAAGAAGCCATAGTTCTAATATCGGGACAATATCACGACATAGAATAAAATGAAAGCAACAATTTTGTGCATGCCATTAATGAGACACGGAGAAAAAAAACGGATGGATGAAGAGGGTTGTTAACAAAAATCAAACCTCAGAATACATCAGCCAGCAATTCTGGACCACAAAGAAACAGGGGGAAACAGAGCAATTTCGTTTTTAGGATACTAAACTAACAACCACAAGCAATAGAGGTCATGCCTTAGTTTTCATTTCCCATTTTTAGGACTCTATTGTTGAAAACTGTTGTATTGTCTTAAAAATGAATGGCATCGAGAAGACAAAAATATACACCAGCAAGCAAGAGGAAGAATTGGATAGGATAGGTATGATTGAAGGAAACAAAACCTCGTAGGTAAAATAAAAAACAAGTAGAGTCATTGGTTTGGTGAAAGAAAACGAGAGAAGAGAGACGTTGGCTTTTCTTATTTTTATTTTGTTTTTCCTTTCTTTCTTTCTTCTTTAGCCGTTGTATTTTGTAGGGTCCATAAATTCAAGTTTAGGAAAAAAGCAAGAATCATTCTCATAAGAGCGTAACTCTTCTCTGTACTTACCATATGTGTTTACACCCTTTTCTTATCTCTTTTTTGACTTGATTGATTTAATATGCTAATTGCTTAATTAGGTTGCCATATTTTTTTTATAGTAAGCTTGATTTTAGGGCATTTTTTCTTATCCTTATTGTTAGAAATGGCAACTCACATGCCTATATTGGGGTTTATTGGGATTTTTTGGTCTGTTCACATTATCTAATTGGATTCAATTCTCTCTTTTTGTGTGTACTAATCCACCAAAAAATCTGTTTTATCCAACTAATTAAGAAAAAGAACACCATGGATGAGGGAGTCTATTATTTTTTAGAAGCTTCAACCAATTTCACTTCATTTCATTCATTATGCTTAATTTACTTTATTAATTTTATTTCACCGTGCCAAAGACTGGTGATTAAGGATCTCTACCAACACAGAAATCGCTGACAATTATAAAAAAGAGCAGTCCTGACAACTGTAAAAAAAATATATATTTATTACAAAGACTGGTGATTAATGGCCTTGGGGTACAGGGAAAAGTTAGTTAATGAAAATAAATGTCCCGTTGGGAAAGGACGAGGAAAATGAAAGTTGTTTAATTCGGCTTTTATTTTGGATTTTCAAATTCCAACAGTCAGGACAGCTATATGATTCAAAAAAAAAAAAAAATCAATATGGGATTGGGAAATAATTTGACCATCGATATAGATCTCTTTAATGTTAATGAGATGCACTGCATCCTACCAAAAGAAGATGAAAAAACGAGAATAAACTGTAACATTTATTTTAATATGAGATCATTTAAGTTATTAAATAAGATTTTTATATTAAGTAGTATAATTTAATTTTTTAAACTACTTAATTAGATTATCAAACATCCTCTAACTGTAACATTTTGTCTTCAGAGCAAAAATTTTGTGACTTGCTATTAATATAAATATAATTGATGAAAAATAAAATATGGTTTTTTTTTCCTATTTGGTTAAATAAACAGCAAAAAAGAAAAAAAAACCAGCGAGTCAAATTGGAATTAGCAGTGTGATTTTTTTACCCTCAATAGTTTTTGTAAATGTACTTTTGTTTTCTCGTAATTTTAAATATACTGACTCTTTAGTGCTTTTGTTTTAATTTATCCTGTACTTACTAATGAAGTCATTAGTGGTACAATTGAAAAAAGAAAAAAAAAAACGATACTTTCATGTGGCTCTACAACAAAAGCTTTCTTGCAACCCGGACTTGCCTGCGTGGCAAATAAGAAGCGTTCGCTGCCGGAGCGTAAATTATAAATCAATATTTCTATTTTTTAAAAATAAATAAATTAATCCTCTCTATTTAAAAAATTAATTATTTATTTTTTTGATAAACGTTGATCATGTTTAATTAAATATTATTTTATTTAATAAAATTTCATGTTTTTTCATCAATCTTTCTATATTATTTATTTCCTTTTCTATTTCTTAAAATAAAAAATCAAAATAAACAAAAATAGCAAAAATACCCCAGTTATAAGAAAAGTTTTTTAAAAAATATATAGATTAAATAATTAATTTTAAAAATAAAAAGATTAATTAATTTTTTTTTGAAAAATGGATGGACTAATTTATAATTTACTCCTACCATGGCCGAAAATCATATAAACTTTCTTACCCATCATGTTTCTACTAATATATATATAAAAATTGACACTTGTGGCTTCTCAGTACTAACCAATAATCGGTCGGTGCAAAAATATAGATCTCCTAAGGAGGACATCAAGAATCAAAGAGACGAGTCTATCATGATCCTAAATCAAATGCATTATAGAATGATTTTAAACTATATATATGCGGCTAAAACTTCAATATGTTACATGAATTGGGTTGAGAAGATCATATCCAAGAAACAACAAAAAAATATTTCAAGTGAGGATTAATCTCATCTCTCCATGCTTATGAAACTTTAAGATACGTACAAGCAAGTTAAATTGAGCAACAAGTATGGAGGTGTTAAAAGCATCTTTATAAACGTCTATATATAGTTGGATTTGTCCGATCCTCAAGGGGATCGATGTTATTTTAGCCTGAATTTTTGGATTTTGCGTTCTGCAGTTCTAACATTGGCAATTAAGTAGGAATTCATGTTAAAAAATGTATTTGGCAATACATTTACATTACGTTTTCAAAGTGTTCTTTAAAATATATTTGATAATATGGATTTATACGATACGAGCAATGAGATTTTTAATGAAATGGTTTGGAGACTGCTTTTACAAAAAGTCAAGAAGGATGAATTGGACAACTGAACATATTTCCTATGCATGATCTTGTAGAATCAATCATCTTACATGAATGTTTTTTAGTTGAGAGCAATAGGAAGCTGAAATTTTTGGAGGGAATATGGTCGATGCTCCTTTTGATTGTGATAAATTTCTCAATTTCCAATCTTCCTGCATGATCCTTATGCGTAAAAAAATTAAAGGGAAGTTCTTCATTTGTGCTTCTCTAGCCAAAAGCATCTCATAGTTTTGGATGCATCAAGTGAAAGTGTTAAGAAATTGGCAGTCTTTCTGTAATTTGAAAAATCGAAGGTATGTTGTCCAAAGTGCATTACCAAACACAAATTAACTAAACTACTCATTGTTTAAGGTTCAAGTGTTGGGCAAACTCGTTCGATTCTGTATGTTTATTTCACTTGAATGTTAATTGAATTTTATTTATTTATTTATTTTAGTTTAGTAGGATATTTTACATCTAAACTATAAAATTTAAATTGTTCTATTTTATTCTAAAATTATTATTTTTTGAGTAAATTATGTCTTTATGTTTGATACAATCGTTAAAAAGGATAGTCAAATTTTGATAATTGAAAGTTCATCAAATGTCATTTTGAATTTTTTTTTAACACAACTGTTTTCAGAAATTAATATTATTAAAAAACAAAAAAAGAATATAAAAACTCTATTTAAAAGTTGAATGATATGCAGAGAGGTTTTAATATTTTTTTCTTTTTTAAAAATAATTTTATGTGTATATATATATTTTTTCCTTTCAAAACCATGTAATATTGAAGTCTTAACTGTAAAACTTGACTTACGGTTTATTAGACAAAAAGATACAATTTATTTTAAAAATAAAGTAAAGTAAATTGACTGTCGAAATTTTATTTTATCCCAGTTCCAATCGTAAAGGGATAAAATATGCCATGAATTGCCCAATGTTAAATTGCAAACAACCGGATGTTTTTATTACTATTCTCCGGCTTAAAATAAACGGGCTTTACTAGAAAATCTCCAGTGACAGAACCCATAGCCCACCCGACCGTAGGAAAAAGAAAAATAGTAGTGTGGCAAGATCGAATAGGATTGGGTGATGGTTACAAGCTCTAAGTAACAAAGACAAGAGCAGAAAAAACCTCAAAAAAATCGCAGTGAAGCGAAGGTTGGAGAAGAAGATTTGTTAGAAAGACCTACATAAAAAGATGGTATTAAGTGCAACAGTGGTAGGAGCTCTGTTGGGGTTGGGCACCCAGATGTACTCCAATGCTCTCCGCAAACTCCCTTACATGCGCCGTAAGTTGATTTTTTTACCAACGAATCACTGATCTTTTATCATTTCTTTCCATCTCGATCTTCAAAATTTTGATTTTGATGATGATGGGTTTCTTCCCAACCCCCCCCCCCCCCCCCCTCCTTTTCAATAGATCCGTGGGAACATGTGTTGGGTATGGGATTAGGAGCTGTTTTTGTGAATCAGTTAGTCAAATGGGATGCTCAGCTTCAACAAGACCTTGACAAGATGCTTCAAAAAGCTAAGGAAGCCAATGAGCGCCGCTACTTCGGTACTCTTTCTTTTTCTTACCTTGATCATATCTTCCGATTTCAATAATTTTTCTTGTCTGGTTTTGCTTTGTTCTTCCTATTCTTGCCATTTGGTTTGGCCGTTTGGGTTTTTCTAAGGAATAGTTGATAATTGGGGTATCAATTTGAGAAAAGAAGGGTTTTTGTTATGATGGATTGAGTAGCGTGGAATTGTTCAAATTAGGTCAAAACCTGTTAACTAGCATTGCTGGGTTGGGAATTTTCTGATCAGTGTAATACTAAAGTTTACGAATATTGAAGGGCGAGGGGGAAAGAAAAGATGTGTTTGTTTGTGTGGAGATGTGGGAGATAAAGGAAAATTGTTTCATAAGTGGATTTGTAGGGACAGAGGAAAAAAAGGGGAGAGAACATATGGAATTAGGGGATCGTGGAAGACTTATAAAAAGAGAATGAAAGAAATAAAAGAAAGTAGTGGACTAGTGATTTTTGAGGAAAGTAAAAGGAAAACAGATGCAGGTTGTTGCTACAACCTAAGATTGCACGACTCTAAGTTTTTGTACTTGGAACATGCAAATATGATGGAGCTGGCAACATCTATAGCAAGGCTGATTCAGAGAAATGGCTTGTAGTCTAGGTTAGATGATGCTCCCACAGGAATTTAAATTTCTGTTGAACATCACCAAGTTTTTTTCTTAATGTACAACCCTAAATCCAACCAGACAAAACCCTGTTAACCCCTATCAGGCACATTATCAATGATGAAGTTCATGTCTTGTAGGCTGTACTAGTTAGCTGACGGTTTAACTGGACCTGCTTTAAGTTTCATTGTGGTGGACTACTCCAGGATTACTAGCCCTGGTGTTTTCTATTATCTAGTCTCTACCAAGAAGAATTGAGCTATGAATGTGATTCAGTGTTATGATCATCTCTGAGATGAAAAGATACCGACAACTTAATACACGACCATATCATGTGGATGTCTCTGTCAATTTCAACATGCAAGCATTCCTATGTCTGGTTATAGGAGGAATGTGTTTTGTTAAAATATGGAAAGGTTAGAAATTTAGCATGGGAAATTTGTAGCAGTGGCTATGCACTTGTGTTAATTTAGAGTTTTCTAATGGGTTTTGCTCATATCCAGTATGCATGCATGCTCCAGCATGATTAGATAGAGATGTGCTTAGGCTGATTGCCTGAGTGCAGATCTCAGTTAATAGAAAACGAACACATAATTCTATAAGACTTAATCTCCAACATGTTGATCATCTTCAATGGTGGATTTATTCGAAGTCCAAAGTTGAGGCCAATTTCAGTCTCCAGTAGTGGATTTTATGTTGTTAGCTTTTGTGGATTTGGGAGGTGGAAAAAGTGTAAGACTTTGTGTTTTTGTGCCATTATTCAGTCCTATGTGTACCTGGCTGGAGGGAAATGCTAGAATTTTTCAGAACTATTGCACTTCAAGACAATTGTTGTGGGATAGGATAGTGTCCTTTCTTCTTGGTTGTGCCATACTTTGATTGTTTTAAGGGCTGTTACCTCTTAGCTGATATTCAACAGGACTGAGCTGTCATGGTTTCTTCTCTTCTTTTGCTATCATGTTTTGGAGGATAACTTATTCTCCACTATGCTTTTGTTGTTCTTTTTAGTCAGTTGATAAATTTTTTCATTATCTAAAAGTATTATTACCTAGGCTATCAGAATCCAATTATTTCAAGTCCATAATCTATTTATTGTTCTGATGGTCAAATTCTATGATAATAATTAAGCAATTTAATGGATCAAATTTTAGTTTTATATGGTCCGATTTGATTAATAGCAGAATCTGCTTCTTATACATTCATCTGAGTGTATTCTGTTTATCTATGGAAATATGTAAAAATTATATGTGAATAACGTATATGTGTTTGTTCTAGATCTTTATTCAAAGTGTATGTTTGTACAAACTTGTTTGTGCATATACCTCCATTTGTGTGTGTCTCCATGTCAATGGGTATATTTGCATATGCATGCATGTATGTGTACATGCACGCTTCATGATAAAATGTTTAATGAAAGCTAATCATAATATGCTAATTTACATATCCAGGAGTTTGCTTTTTTCTTATAATAGGATTCAATTTTTTTTTTTTCCTTACAATTTTAGATTTTGATACAGATTTGAATTTGGTTAATTTTTCAGTAATCATATTATACCTGCACTGAACACGACGTGGTTGTGCTTATAGTTGCATACACATGAGTTTGTTGTCACCTTTGCAAGTTTTATCTATTTTATTCTACCCTTTCAGATATTTATTTTTCTATCTATGGCAAACACTTCTTTCATGTGTATGCCACCGTTGCAAGTTTTATCTATTTTATTCTACCCTTTCGGATATTTATTTTTCTATCTATGGCAAACACTTCTTTCTTTATTGCCACGCAACATCCAAAACTGTAATTTGATAAGTTAAAGAAGAAAACAATAAGAAACGTCAAAGAAACTTCAAATTTGTGTTTTCTTCTCATCATATCCTTTTTATGAACCCACCCTTAAATTTTTCTACTTCCATTCTGCTTCATTAACATCGATCAATCAATTATTGAAATGAGAAAAACGTCTCAAAACATTAAATCATCTACTCTCTCCTTCCCATTTATTATCACTTCCTTTTCCATTATATTCTTTTATGTTTTGCCTTCTACCATCATATCTAACGACAGATGGACTCTCTTTTTCAATAAGCAATAACAAAATCTCACTTAACAACATTCGTAAATGACAGATATTGTAAAATTTGGTACATATGGCTTCGCTACATTTGAGCATGACCTTAACACACAAATATACCTATACAAGATGAGTCAAAACAGAAATAAGAATTTTGTTTTAATCGGTTTTAGTTTGTCTTTTGGTTAAGTTGAAAAACCTTAAGACTGTAATTTTATTCTGCTGCTACCAAGTCCAAGCAGCCCTTCAAAATGGTTCCATGTCATGCCATTCGAGAGGTGCAACTGCAAGAAGCAAGAAGCCACGTAAAGTTCCTGCTGCCACCATATCTACAGTCCTGCAAAGTGACTGCATGTCTTATCATTTTGAGAGGAGGAATTGTATGAAGTGAGAAACCAAACAAGGTTGAAGAGTCACCAATATTATCTATCCATAGACCTTGAATCTGACCCATAACACTGTTTCCCGACTGACCTTGTATTGGAATATTTTAGTGGGACATCAGGTGGAAATTATCTTGTGCATTTAGTGTAATTTTAGAAAAATTCTTTGGGTTAGAGTTGAAGACCCCAGGACAGGCATTGGTTTTGGCATCTCAGGACATACTTAGTGTGTAAAAAATGAGATTTGGATGAGGACCCTAGCAAAGGTGATGTATTTTTTGTGATTAAAGTTAATGGAGGGCTCTCTGCACTGTCTCCACTTTTCTAGTATAGGTTATGCACGATTCCTATTCCTCGTCCACACTGTTTCCAATGACATTTTTTTCCAGTCCAGGGAAATTTTTCATTCGCATCTTTGTTTTTGTGTTCATGCATAATTCTCTCCTTCACTGATTTAAGTTTTCATTTCCTTCGCAGATCAAGATGATGATTAGTGCTTCTGGATCTATGTTCTTTGGCATAGACAACCTGTTGTTTTCTCCAGAAAATTATGGCCTCAGGACTAACGTTCTTGAAAGGGCTGTTTGCACTTGTTTGCTTTTTCATCTTTTGTTGTCGTGCTTGTAATCTTGTCAGATGTTTTTCTTGCTGTTGCTACAAATAAGATTTAGGATTCATTATGTGGACAGCTTGGAGTTGGATCTCCAATAATACGTCAAAGCAAACTAGTGAATTTCCCCCACCGGAATACAGTTTTTAACATGATTATGCAATGCTTGTCATGAATTTTTGGGTCCTTCTTGCTGGACTGCTTGATCAAAAAGTTTGAAACAGATCACTTTGAAATGAGTTAATCTTGGGATTTGCCTCAGAGTGTTACTGTTGCTATCTTTTAATTTTATGTGCTTTATTCGATATAGGTGCTACACCAAACTACTAAGATGCTATGATCAAAACAGGTTATACTGTGCTATTGGTAGAAGAGAACATACTACATACATGTGGTTATAATAGTGAAGATAGCATCAACATATGAAAATTGACATTTTCTGAAGACTGACCTAGTTAGCACAAGATCTACAAAACAAGAATGATACTTGAATTGATAATTGGCTTCGTTTCTTGAATACAGACGTCATCGGTTATGCATAAGGATCTACATTCTTGTCAAAATCCACCATCCTATTCTTGTACAAATGTAGTAATTGATCACATGCATGTCGGGATGAGGGCCTCTCTTGTGGGGTGGTTTTTGTGCACTGCAGAGCTATTTCAAGCAGTTGATACGCTGCAGATTCTTCGCAAGGCAAGAGCGGTTTCAATGCCAGATCAATCAACTCTTCACGAGCACATCTACCTTGCATTTCCATATGTTTCTCCACCCATCTCACCATGTCCATTTCGACACCAAAGGTTGCATCAGTCGGCGCTTTTCCACTAACTAGCTCCATCAGCACGATCCCCATGCTATAAACATCACTCTTCTCTGTTGCCTTAAGCGAGTATGCATACTCTGAGGAAAGAAAATGCATAGAATTATGTTATAATATGGGGGAAACGATGAACTGAAAGTGATTTTCTCATAAAAACTATAACTGTATGCAGAAATTACTGTCATACCTGGAGCAATGTAACCATAAGAGCCCGCAAAACATGAATGTGATTCTGTGTTGGTGTCATAATTCTCCTCTAGTGCCTTGGCCAGTCCAAAATCCCCTAAATGCGCCTCCATATTGGAATCAACCAATACATTGCTAGATTTGATATCTCTGTGGATGATCTTTGGTACACAATCATGGTGGAGGTACTCTACACCCTGGGCCAATCCGACACCAATCTTTAACCTCGCCTCCCAGTCCAGGCTTTGCCTCTTCTTGCTATTCACTGGTTGTTGATGCAGCCAATCCCACAAACTCCCATTCTCCATGTATTCATAAATCAACAGATTACAACCCGCAACTTTGTTACTACAATACCCTATCAGCTTCACTAGATGCCTGTGTCTAACCCTGCCAAGTGTCTTTACTTCTCTTGTGAAGCTTTTATTAAGAAGAAGATCATCTTTCCACAAAATCTTCTTTACTGCCACAGTTTCTCCACTTTGCAGTTCAGCTCTGTAGATTGTTCCAGATCCACCTGAACCAATGATGAACTCATCACTAAGATTGTTTGTCGATTCCATAATGTCATCCCATCTATACTCCCTCTTAGCAGTTCCCTTCAGGAAGAGTGGTTTGCGCTGAGGTTGGGAAGAACTGGAAGAGTAAATGCAGTTCACTTCACTCACCCTTTTGAGAAATTCTCGCCTGCGTTTGAAGAAGAGAGCAAGTCCAAGTACGAGCAGAGCAATGGCAGCAAAGGTTGTAATTGCTGAGATTACCACAACTGATGACTCACTTAGGCCCGACCGATCACTTGACACAGAGCAGCGATCAAGAGGGCTACCACAGAGCTTCAGGTTTCCTTCAAATGCTTCAGTTGGCCAGAGTGAGAATTGCTTGCCTAATTTCCCTTGGAGATTATTGAAGGAGAGATT